TTTTTAACAATCACGCAGAATTCATCTTGACCACACGGAAATATCTGAAAACTGCATCAGAAAGATAGCATAGATCTTGTTTCCGAAAAGAAAGCAAGCAATTGAGTCATTGAGTCAAATAGGAATACAATACATTTTCTGGCATCGCTACTGAATATTTATATCGGTGATGAATGAGACTACAAACGAGATATTTTAACATGAGGCTTTGCCTTGTTAACTGCGTGATATGCCAAAACACCACCTACTGTAAATCACAGGGTTTAAGACCAGTATTTCTTGTTTAAACATGCTACTTGTTCAGCAGAATCACTTGTGTGAACAAGCATACATTAATGTACACTAACTAGAGCAGTTTCACTATCCAACTGATAGAGTATAATTTAACAACCTTATTATCAGCATTGTAATTTTCAGACTGCTGAAATATCATATTTGTTGCAATTATTATACGGTTTAAATACTTTAACAACATTGCCCATTTGACTCTTCTGTCAGATAAAATACAGATAGGCACTTGTCCATTGATGAACATGCTTTTAATCCTATAAAGAAACTTTCTCTGTCAAATTATAGGTGTTTCAACACCTGATTTATGAACACCATAATTAAAATCCTTATGCCTTAAAGAAAAACAAACTCTTCATTATAACAACAGCTTTCTTTCATATTTTTATCTTTTAATATTTGGAGCTTGCTTTTATATGCTGCTATTAGCTATCAGTTTGGCATGTCATTCCTGGCTGCCAAGACAGGAGAATATTTCTCTTTATAACCTGGTCAAACCTCAAAGTCTGGCTAAGCACCCAAAGGGATCAATGTTTATTCGCAGCTTTGACAAAGCATTTGCAGGAGAAAAAAAAAAAATCTGCCAATTTAACAGGTAGAGGACAACCATCACACAATTCAGTGCTTTCTATTCCTAGGAAGGCCAGAAATGCTATAATGTCTGCCAAAATATTTCTCCTCCTTCTATGAACTGTCAGAACTAAGAGTTTGGAGAGATACAATTAAAAAAAAAAAGAAAGAAAAGAAAAAAGAGCTAGCTTTTCATATGCGTTTCAGTAGTGGTTCTGGTTCAATCTGAATTTTAGACAGATCTCTGGAGGGGGAAGAGATTCCTATTTTATCTGAACAAATTCATGCATATCATTCATTCATTCTTACAGCACCCACCAGCACAGCAGCAGCAGGTTTCAGTTTCCTAAACTCAATGCAATTGAGAATTACACACAATCTCCACAAAAACTACCATTACTGAAAGTGATGCAGTTACACATTAGCATCCCTTCTCTAAAGAAATCTCTGTCCTCAAATCCCAGAAAAGAACAATTCATTTACAAGCTAAGCAAGTAATCTTGAATCAAATCCTGAAGCTTGTCAAAACTAAGATCTCCTAAACTATCAATAAGAAACTAATTTCAAAAGAGGGAACTCCCAATTCAAGTCATTGCTGCTGAAGTCCTGGTCCCTTTTACCTAGCTTTCTATCAAATTTGTTTTGAAATGTTATAAATATATTGAAAAAGAAATTAAAAAGGAATAATGGCTGAAGAAGGTCTCCCTGACGGGACCAAAGCGTAGGTTATCTGAGTTTTGGCCACTAACTACACCACCAGCAAAGTTCCTGAACTCAGCATTACATGAAGGTGAAAAGCTTACTGTGTAGAAGATTAAGATAAAATATTATACTTGCAGATAACAGAATCATAGAACTGTTTAGATTAGAAAAGACCTTTAAGATCATCAAGTCCAACCATTAACCTAACCCTGCCAGCCCACCACTAAACCATGTCCCTAAGCACCTCGTCTGCCCGTCTTTTAAATACCTCCAGGGATGGGAACTCGACCACTTCCCTGGGCAGCCTGTTCCAATGCTTGAATGAGGACAACTGAAAGGAACGACATTACTATTGCACAGTGGAGAGGTTGAAAATTCACTTCTCAAATATCATCTCTGAAAACATAACAGATAAATTCTGTTATCCTTCTAACAAGCTGTTGTAATGCTAGACTGGGATAAAACAGATCATGCTGCCCTCTTGTGCTAGACATGCACAGAAACCAACCCTTTTTTCCTGCAAGTGACACACGAAGAGGAATATAGAAAGCATTCACTACGAAGAAGAAAATATCCGTGTTTTCTTCCTTACAGATACCCTGAAATGCATGCAATTCCCTTACTGGGATATGGATAGAAGAGCAAAGGAAGTTTCAAGAGAGTCACATTATACACTCCAAAAAATAAACAAGTTCTGCCACCAAATGCAGACAAGTCAGATGTGATAAAGCCCAAAATACAACCACTTAATCTCTAACTTCCCAGCAAGCTTTCACTATGTCTAAGCAATGCTGTATAGATATCTGCTGATAAATTTGAATTTCAGTCATAAATATGTGATCATTTTTTCTGAATGCCCGACAAGCTTTAGTCACTTAGGGTTATCAGCTCAATAGGGTTAAGTGCTTAAGAAAGAAAGAGACAGTCATTTATTAATAAGGTTCTTCCATTGCAAAACATACTTAAAGCAGTAATGTCTAACTATTTTTAGATCCATGGTAAATTACACAAAGGTGAAATCTGGGTACATACAAATATTTTGGGAGGGGAAGGGAGAAAGGAGAGGGGTCCTCATATTCCTCTGCTGTCTCTGCTATGTAATCCAGGTTCCAAAAATACATTCAAATTCTTATATCATCTGAGTAAGATGCACATTACTATTCCCTTTACAACCTTCCCCTCCCTGTATATTGCTAATGCAATCTGTAATGAGAGATCTTGGGCTCATGCCTAAACCGATTTACAAAGCATAATTTTTTAGAAATAAGTCATCTCGTTTATTCACCACGACTGATTGGATCTACGCTGTTGGGAGCTGACAGACATGTCATGATTCACCATGTACTTCCATTTCCTAGTGTCGACTCCCTGATGCTGCTCATTAGTCTGTTTCCCCAATAAGAACTATTGAGAGCTTGGAATGTCTATTTATTTAAGTTTCCTTCCTCAACTTTGGAACACAGATCACTGTGTGTTCAAAATACTGGCCATGGCATTTTTTAATTGCTGATTATTTTTGGATAAAAAAAACAGCGAAAGTCACTTCAGCAATTGCTTCTGCTAAGGTCTTAGAGACCTCACACAAATACTGAGAACATGCCGGATGCTTAAATGACAGATCTGACACTGTAATATCAGCTTTGCTAATATGGGATATGACAACTAATAGTTTGGCCTGGCTATTACAATCACAACCCTAGAAAAAGGAGCCTTTAAAAATTTTAATTTCTCTTTAGTATGTTTTTCATAGTAAAGCACATTAAAAAAAGAAAAAAAGACAAAAAGACTTCTACGTAAATCAATCTCACCCCAATGCAAAAAAAATAGCATTTAAAGTTCTAAAAGATAAATACATAGTAAAAAACCCATGTAAATCTGACAATGAAACACAGATGTTAAAAACAGAATTTCAGAACTGCTACATGCTGCAGTTCTGTACAAGAGCATCGTCTCACATGTAATCTTTTCCCTTTTTTCCTTTTTGAAAAAATGTATAGATCAGAACAGCAGTACCTTTGGCATGCTATCATGACCGAAAGAAACATGAAGGGAAAGAAATATATGCACACTGAAGTTAATTTTCTATTATAAAATATCTGCTGATAAATAGGAACACATAACTGCAAGTCACGACAGCGTGTGAATACCAGCGATAGCCAGGTTTTATGACTGTCACTTTTACAAAGCACTGCTAATTTGAGCTTCACAGTATGTTACAAAGGAAACTGTTATTTATTACTCTACATTGGCCCTGATGTTTACTCTGTAGTTCTTAGTTTGTTATGATGAGCCAGGGTTATAAGATGATTATGTATTCCCTCAAAAATACAGTTACTGCATAAGCTGCGCACAAACACACACACACACACACAAAAAAAAAGAAGAGAGAAGAGGAAAATCCCTGCCTATCTGACAACAAACCCCATCAGTACTACATTTTCTTCTGATGTATGTGCTCTCCCTAGCTCTCCACTAACCTGCCTCTGGAGCTTATGGCTTCACTTCTAATTCTTTGCAGTGGCCTTGAATTTACACTACTACAGACTCACAGTACAAGTAGACCATATAACACAGATTTAAACTTCTGCAGTTCTAGATTTTTTTTTTTTTTTTGCAGGGGAAATTGTACATGCTTCATTCATCATATTATGGACATGAACCTTTTCTCTACATGAGCATTTTTTTCCTAAAAATAGTACTAATTTCTCTGAAACAATAAAGCCATCCCTATATACCTATATAACCTTACAATCATTAAATGGCTTGTGGAACTATGAGATCAAGCCTATGTTCCTTTTCTTCAAGGGAGCAAAGACCCTCAGATTTCTGTTTCTCATGTAAGACTGGCTAGTAAATCGGTACTGCCCCGCCTCTCCACTCTCTTCACTCTGCTCCAGCTTCTCTCTCGTTTCTTTTGAAGAGCATAAGGATCTGGATTACAGTTTTAAATTGCATGCTTTATGCTTCTGTGTGTTCTGGAAGGATAGTAAGCTACACAGTTTCTCAAAACTGAATTACCACACATGCTTATTTCTTAAAAGGGCAAATAATTGTTGGGGTTAAGCTTTCAAAGAAAAGCACAAGAAGGGCATCCCCACAAAATGCATGCGTATACTTTCAGCATATGGAAGACACCCTTGTGTAACTGAATCAGAACAGCAATGCAACCAGCAGGTCAGTGTACAACACCAAAGCCACAGGTAATTCATTTTTCTGTAGGCTGCATTTGAAGAGAGTAAGATCAACCATCAATAAGCAGTCAATGTTCTGACTTCTAAATTTAAGAAAATCACACTGTTAAATTTAAAGATTTTAAGTAAAAGAAGCAAAAAAACCCCAAAACCATGCAAAAATACTGTAAAATCATAATTGCCCAGAAATAGTATAGTTTAAATATAATCAATGAGGTACACTAAGGGTTTTTTTAATATTAAACTTACCTATAGGATTTCTGTCAAAAAACAAGACAGGAGCTTTCAAAATGGATTGAAACATTTTGTTGTGCAAAGTCTGACCAGAATTAACAAGAACTTGAAACACCAGAAGACTTCTTATTATGCCAAACAGTATTGTAGCCACCGTTAAACCTGAAATTAAAAAACATGGACAAGGCATGCTTACAGATATGGATCTTTCAAAAGGAAAAGAATTTAAAAATAAAACCGAACTACAACCAAATTTTATTGACTCCTGTATATAGCAAGAATCCAAACTTAAGCCTAGGGACTCAGACTGAGCGCAGAAACCCAGATACCTTGTATTTGGCACTAGTTTCAGTTAATATCATATCTCCAATTTAAACAATTTCTCTTTTTAGGTTTGAAAGAATTGGTACTTTATAGAAATGTAGGAAATGACTGTTAACTCATTAAATAAATCTGTATTAAAACCTTCTGCATAACAGCTCTGCTAAGAAATTCATTTCACAGTGCCATGTGTAATTGTGGCTTGCAGAGGTCACTGTGAAGATTCAACATTTGCCAGCAGGTATTAACCAAGTAATATATACATGGCTATTTAGAGACAACCTTGAGTTACTCTCAATCAGCCCAAACCACTCATGCCATTCTTCCCCTTGTAAACCACATCAAATCACTTAAATTATGTGTATTTCTTTAACACAGTAGAAGATGCATCCCTCATGCCACGTGAAATAGAGCCCTTCCGGGGAATTGGTCTGCAGACTGTTTGTCTGTCTTCTGGGCACATCTCCACTTACAAGACAGGGGTGCTACAGGGCAAAAGATGGAAACAAAGAATGATGAGATTGCTGCTGCTCTGTTTGCTGTGTGTAATCTCCAATGTGGCTGCCCAAATTCCCAGTCAATGAAGGTGAACAGTGAAGGTGTTAACCTTAAGCTTGGCAGTGCTTCCAGGCGCCAGGTGATCTGCTCCAGAAATTAAGCATAACCACCACAAGCCCAGACCCTCAGGCCTTGAGGACACCCTTAAGTTAGACCCTAACTAGCAACATAAAACATTGCCTATTCTATGGACAGGTTAAAACTGAATACAATTCAGATACAGCTATAGTAACAGTGGGAAAAAAGTGAGGTTTTAAATTATATGATGTGGTTAAGGGGATACTCCTGTATCCTCCTAGGATGCAAAAAAAGGTATCACTATTTCATTTGTCTGTTTGCAGTTTATTGCTCATGTTCTGCGTGGTGCTGTTTTTAAGAAAAAAGCACGTGGCTGGGATAAACTTACTCTTGGAAAACAGCTTTTCCATATACCTAAACAGGAAAGCTGGGTCACGCAAAGAGGGAGCAGAAGAGGTGCTAAGCAGGAAGCTGTGGCAGAGCCCACACCTAACAGCAGTCTGTGGGAGCGATAGGAAGAGAGGGAGCACATCCTGGGAACCCCACATTTCTGTACAACTTCACTCAGGCTTGGAAGCCACTTGGAAGCCACTGGCATGACCTTCACCAAATAGATCACCTGAAAAGACCTAATTGCTAGGGAGAAAGGTGAGGAATGACACTCACTTTCAAGTCCTTCATCTAGTCTGTCTCACTCTGAAGATTTTTGCTTTCCCCATTTACAAGCTTACCACCTCAGCATGAGAGAGACAAGGGCTCTCTGCACACTCACTTTACAGAAAAGGTGTGGAATTGGTACCTCAGTTCTGGCCAACAGGGTTTCCCATTAACAGAAATTTTACCCTTCTAAATCTTTGTCTCATAGAAACAACAAGGACTAGGAAGGAACTACCATGGTGATTTTTTTTCTTTTTCCAAACATTGAGAATCAGAAATAAAAACATTAAATTACTTTATACAGTTTTAGAGGTTATAGAAAAAGGTAAATTAGACTATTATGTACTTCATATGAAAGGTACTGTCTTTTTATAACTTTTTCAACTTCACTTACAATTTTGTGTAGGTAAGTCAATGCTGTCTTCAACTCTTGCAAATATCTCACTAACCATCTGAACATTTGCATATAAAGGTAACTTCTGCTGTTCTGCTATCTAGAACAAAATTTGCCTTACAGGACCAAATTTTCTGTAATGTGTTTTAGGTTATGTGGTCAGAGAAAGCCAAGTTTGCCACACTTAATCATATTGTGCAGTCCACTGGAACAGCTCATGAAATAAGACATTACACAGAGAAATTAAGAGCCAAGTTTATCTGGTTCCTAAATTGTTGCTTTCCAGGCCAATACCAATGTTTTCTGTCAAGCACTTAGATCATGTGGATTCCCAAAAAAAAAAAAACCAAAACCAAAAAACCAACAAAAAATCCCCCACCTACCCTCTCACCCATGAGAGATGTTTCTGAATACATTCAATGCATATTCTTCTGGTATTCTACCTGTTTTCTCAGACCTATCGTTTACATCTCCATCAAGAAATTGCCATGCCATACAGAACTGTACATCGCTAAGTGTTAAACAGTAGCATCTGAGACCATATTTCTACACATGATTTTTCTATGCCAATTTTTACTACATTTCACAGCAATATTTCAAGATGTTTGGATGCCTGAATACAAGGATCAACGCCCTTTTCTGGATATTCAGAAGCATATGGCTACCTATTGAAATATATTGAAAAGTTTTTTAATGTCCTGCTTTGCATACCTATCTAGGATGCTTTCTAAGAAGTGGTTCTTCTGCTATGGCACTTCAGAAGGAATGCAGCCGTGCCAAGTTTTAGAACAGCGCAGAATGAAGATCCATTTCTAATCCTTCTTGCCCATCCATATAATGACTGAAGATTTAGCTCAATGACCCATTAGTATAGACAATAACCACAACCTTATGGTGACTGACTTTTTGAATACTCAATTCCTAGTTTACTGCCCAAAATCCAAGCAAAGCAAATTAAGAGTCTGCATTCAACCCATTTCTTCTGTTAGATCTTTCTTATTTTATTTATTCCAATTAATTTAGTCAGGAAGCCAGACTCAGGCTCTAATCTGTCAAGACTTTATTCAGTTATTGCTAGAAATTACATTTACCCACACTGACATTTCTTCACACCTCCCCAAACTGTTTATTATGATAGGTCAGATAATAAACAGTTCTTCAGACACACACACATGCATGTGTAACTACCTGCATAAATTCCCAAATAAAAGTTAAGGTCTAGATGTTCAGTCTCATTTGCTCCATTATTTCCATTTGTTGTGACATTCAACTTTTCTTGATGATTTGCCCTGTAGAAATGCATACAGAAGACAACAATAAAATCACATTCTGCAAATATTCATGAGTACGTTTAACTGTTTCTAGGTTCAACTCCATTGAAATCTTTAGTTCAAGAGATCCCACGTACTGATGTTGTCATGCATCACACCATGAGTAGACGCGATCACAGGCTACACTTTATCGTTACGTTTAATTTTTCTTCCCCACACAAAGTGAGTGGAGATCAGAAAAAGATCAAGCATATTCTGAAGTTTCCTAGACAAGGTTTCCCCCCACCACCACCACCTATACAACACTGATTTCTATTACACAAACAGCACTTGACTGAAAAGGCAGAAATGGCTGACCAGTTATTATCATCAACTTACCAGTAAGAAAGCCACCAGTCCTGGAGCACATATGCCACCTTGAGTAAAAGACGCAAAGACAAGAATTGTCTTACAAAATGAAAAAGACATTAGAAAATTAAATTTCCTTGCTATTCTTTCATGTTCTCTGGGAAACATCACATAATCAGGAAAGTATGCCATCCAGTCTTTCAAGACCAGCAGCAATTTGCAAAGCACATTAGAAGGTGCATTAGAACCCTCTACAAAGAAAGACGTTACCTTAAATTACCTTACATGATAGCAAACTAAAGGAAAGCAGTACACTTGAGCAAACAAAATATAGCTCTTCCTAATGTATGTTAATTGCACATTAAAGAACTAATTTTTTTCAGTTCCTAAATTTGCTACTAGAGATATTCCAAAATGTGTTTTGATTAACAAACTTTCTGATGTTACCAGTCCAGAAATTTGTGTTTACAGGAGATAATTCCCAGAAACAGGGTTGAAGGAGGATGAGAAGAGAGGGAGGGAAAAATTCCTACTGCCACCTTTCTTCTGTGCTGAGAGGTGACGACAAACTTGTTACAGGGTTATTTATCTCACAATACACCTCTGTTCACGTGAATTTAAAGTTCTGGGCGGTCTACTGCAGAGATTTGATCTTGCTCAGCTACCTTTCCAACAGACTCGACTCAAGGACAAGGAAAAAGGAAGTAACATGTCTAAATATATAGACTATTTTTTACAGCCAAGACCAAAG